GCTACAGCTAACCACATTAAAAGCATTTAGATTAGTGTGGCTTTCATCAGTGTTGCTCAGCAATGTCAGGAAACAAATAACCAATCAGCTCCAGCAATGTGAAGACAGACAGTTACAAAGAGAGACTCAAGACAAAGGACATCTCACAGTCCTGGCAGACAAAAGAATAAGGACGATTGGTCCAACAGTCTTAGCAATGACAATGATAATTTTCATTAAATAGGACTGATTTCAACATAAGCCAACAATCTATTAGTGTCTTTCTGACGTCACTCACCTTTGGCTCTGAGCCCTCAAGTGTTTCAAATGTAAGATGTAAATCTTTAAAACTAAATACAGTTTAAACAGGATACCTAATCTCCTCAAACATCCAAGACACTGAAGCTTTTAGCAAACAGGAATAAAGTGTCTTCATATTCCAGCCACATTCGGTGCATTCATCCGTGAGTATTTACGACAGCAGGACGTCATATATGAGAGTGACTCAGAAAACAACAGTGGCCGCATTCATGGAAATAAACAGACCTGCATGTCCTCAGGGTGTCTTGACTTTTTATGCTAAATTATACTTATATTAATGCAAATTGTATTAATTTCATCTGTTAATTTTTCTGATGATGAGTTATTCTTGGCAATATTCTTAGAAAAACAATTGAGTACTGACACCGACATGCAATCAGACTGCACAGACAATCAGACAAAAGATCAATGCTTTGACTGTGTTTACACGCAGGCTAGTATCCCTGTTATTATCAGGTGTTTGTGGTTTTTGGATTTAAGCATGTAAACGTCATATGATTTCAGCATCGTGGATAAGTCCTCATTCCGACTTTAAGAGAGCCGCTCTAGCCGGGATACTGGTGCATGTAATAATATTAATAATAATATATAATGTGTGTATACATTTTATTCCGGTTTCTGTTGACCACCTGCACAATTGGCAAAAAAATAACCAGCATACTATATATACAGGGCATAAAACCAGGATAAGCCTCATAACTGGGATACTGGTAGGTACGTAAACACAGTCGGTGTTGATGGTGGCCTTTTAATGTTATTTGCTGACACCAACAAAATATCGCTGACCTTGTCCTTTCTCCATCTTTCTTTTACAGCAGATTAAGAAAATATATTCCTGACACGCTTTGTTGTTTACTCTTGCTTAAATCTTAAAACCCAAGACTCGCCGAATGTTTTTATGGCTGCACCGTGGAAACAGTCAGGATATCTTGCACATGGCAAAGCATGATTCTTTTCTAACTAAACCAGACAGGTCACCGCAGTTAAAGTGGATAGACTGTAACTGGAATAAGAATGAGAGAAGAAGGAGAGAGCAAAGTTTCTGGCGTCCATTGTCACATATCTCAATCAGGTGGTCGTGCGTGCTTGATTATAAAACACCTGCTGGACTGTTTTTTACTCCCAGAAATGATTGTGTCTAACCTTCTCCCCTTGACACACCCCTTCCCTCATCATGAGTGAAAATTCATCCCTTTCTGACATTACAAGAAAGCCACCTGATGTCAACCTTCCTCACACAGCGATCAACAGGAAACATGGAGCATGGGAGGATATTTTTGGGTAGGAGGAGGCAGACTGACTATTAACTCCAATCATTGAAGGTTCATTCATGTGCGACAATGAAGTGGGTGGGAGACAACAAACATGGAAATATCACTACGTTAGTTGATTTGATTCATGATTATATGTGACTTGCATTTGGCTGCATTAGAATCCTCTAACCAGGCCTTCCAGGGATGTAAGATGCCTAAATTCATTTTAATAATACATAAAACAACATAAATCTACAGCCGGGTGATATTTAAAATCTTTCAGACGTCGAGGCCTTTTGAGGAGAAGCTTTTCTTGCTCTTTCCAGTCGCCTTGTTTGACAGTAGAGTCGGCTTTCATTTACAACATGGAGATAACCGAAGTATCCTGTCTAACACATTGCTACAATACCATAAGGAGAAGGACTGCACCTTGTAATATACAGTATTGATTCCGTTCCTGCTGTGTACTTGACATTGACATTGAGTTGTTGAAGTTGGATGAGATATGGAGGTAAAACCAGAGTATAATCACTTGATAGTGGGATAGGAAGAAAAAGAAAGACCATATGAGTAAGCTGACGAGGGGATGAGGTGAAGTCATATGGTCTGAAGGACGTGATTCGAAATTCAGCTTGTCAAGACAGAACAAAGAGTCCTTTGCCACCCACACCCTTCGATGATGAAAACCACTGAACAACTTCATATTTTGCAGCAAAGGACCCACAGATTTTCATGTTCTCACAGTATTTTCTTCAATCAACAATAACCCCCGCACAGAGCTAACCTTGACCTCCCCCCCATGCGTAATGTGCAAATAGGAAGGACAGGTGTCATGCCGAAAAGTGATCAGTAACCACAAAGTGATTTAGCAGTCTCTTTCACTTGTGTGGCCTAGTTTGTAAATGTCTACAGCTGCTTTTATCTGGATCAAACTGTCAAAACCTGCACACACACTTAACTTTATGTCTCTGATAATAATATTCTAATCTATGTATTTCACAGAATAATCACATCAGTGGCCAAAGAGGTGTCAAGCATTGCATTAGGACTATTGGAAATAGACAATACTATTGTTTCTGAGGTGTATATGTGTTTGATAGTCAATATCCCGTTTTCTTATACTTTTTTATACGTTAATTACAGCCCTACCCTAGGGCTGTAATTAACATGATTTCCAGATGGGTTAAATATATAAAATAAAGCCATTGCGTCTTTGCAATTATCCTTTTGACATTGGCGTTATTTCATCTCAAGCTGTAGATTGTCCTTTTCACCAGTTTAATGTTCTTTTTTCTAGTTTAAAGGCAACAATACATCTCACTGAAGTCAGTTTTCCACTGAATGGCAATCACTGTCAGGCAGACAATCACTTACTGGCACAGCACCTGTTGGCTCTGCCACCACATACTGCTGAACTCTAATGTTCCAGTTTTGTCTTTTATCAAAGTGCAAATGAAACAACTTACTCCAAAACGTATAAAAAGAAACAGTTCATTCATCTCCCCTCACACACACACACTTCTCTCACCAGGAAGCAGATGAGCAACAGAATTACAGTGCATCCTGCAGAGAATGTTGCCACCACAAACAAACAAAATGGGGAAAACACTCAGGAGGACACACACACACAGAGATACACCACTTTTAAGGCATTTAGTTTAGTGTGGCCTTCACCAGTGCCACTCAGGGGATGTCAGAAAATAAATAAACAACCATATGAAATAATATATGAGCAATCTTCTTTGTGATGACAAAATATGATTCAACAGATTACTTTCAATAAAGTCTGCAGCTTTCAACAATCGCTGGCCAAGTGGCTCCCAAACGCACCCACCAGACTGGTAGAACAGAGTGATTGTAACCTGCTTCCACCATCCATATGTGTTACTATGGAAAACAAATGACCATCATCACTGTGAAGAAATTCACACTACAGTGCAAGAAAAGTGCAAGTGTGGGACGAGCTGAAAGCAGAAAGCCCTGAGAAAGAATTTTAAATAAGCACAAAATCTTTTTGAGATTATGTTGTTGACAAAAAAATGTTCCAGCGTATCATATTTGTTAGTTCTTATTCTTTCATTATTAATATTCAAAACAGACCAATATCTGTTGTATAATGTGTCAAATTGAGTTCAAAGTATTCAAACTTAAATCTTTATTGTCTAAATGGGCCAAAAACTGAGGATTCTTCCAACTAGTTACTTCCACCATAAGTTGTTTTCATTGCTGTTTGTCTCTTTGTAGGATTGCACAAAAAAGACTGAACCAATTGTCTTGAAACTTGGTGGGAAAGTGGGGTACAGGCCAAGACAGAATGAAGAACATGAACAATGGGGCACATATTTCCCAGGGAATCATTCATGAATCTTGATGGAAGTATCAGGCATAACTGATATCCATGAGTGTGTGCATTCGGTGCAGATTGGTTAAATTTAAGGGGACTGTTGGGCCTTGGCAGAAGTCAAACTTTCTGTGACATCACAAACTTTATTCGTTTAACAAGACTTCATATATATTGTGATGAATATTATCTTATGTCACTGTTGCCTCAAACCAAGAAGGTTCCTGCATGTTCTCCTTGTGTCTGAGAGAGTTTTCAGCGGGTGCTATGGCTTCTTCCCACTGTCCAAAGATATGCAGACCGGGGATTAAGTTCATTAGAGACCCTAAATGGACCATGTGACGGAGTGTGAATGGTTGTTTGTATGTTGTGATACTCTGGGGGCCTGTCCAGGGTGAACCCCACCTCTCGCTCAATGTCAGCTGGGATTGGCTCCAGCTCTCAGCAGCCTTGTTAACACTGACTTTCTAGTACAAACATCATAAAGCCCTTCTTGCAAGCTTCCAGATCGAGAGGGCATGTGAGGGATTGGATCTCGATGCCCAGACAACAGACGGGGACAGTGAAGGATTACCTGTCATCCTTCAAAAGATCAGCGAGGACACAAGTACCAACTGTTCCCCCCCACTCTGAACACAAAGGACTCATTTTCACCGCTGCCTGCAACAGCTTCTGAGACTAATTTTATAGTTGTAATAAGCTGCAGCATTTAGTGATGGGCCACATTATCTTTTTTGCAGATGGGATGGATGGTGCTAAGTGGAAATAGATGAGAATAACATATGGATGAGCAAAAAGTATGAATGAAAAACAATGTGGGGCCATAATCGTTGGCAAACTTAATCAGTGACATCGCCTGAACATTCCAGCGACATTCCAGTCCACCACTGAAAACTCAGCCGCTGTATTGTGCATGACAAAGATAATGGTCATAATCTTATCACTTAAATAATTTGAATTCCTCATTAAACCGATCTTTATCCAACAGCGTTGTGAGAGGAGAATAGTTAGAGACTGAGAAACAAATATGGAGACATTGTCCCACAGAGACGGAGAGAAAGAAAGAGACACATATTTCTTTAAGTCTCACTCATTTGAAAACTTACATGCGTTGGTGACGGCGAAGCTGTTGGCGGTCTCTATGTTGTCGACATGTGGGACCAGGTTAAAGGGCGCTTCTGTAGCATTAGGGCTGGTGTTGTGAAGGAAGATAGCGAGTCGAAAGGCTGTATACTCCTGATCAGTATTCCTAATGAACAACCCGCCTGGAGAAAGGGAAAAAAGAGAGAGGGGGCAAGGAGGAGAGGAGCATGACAGAGGAGAGGAAGTGAGTTATTGTAGGGCAGAGAGGGGCGGGGTGGGAGCGTGGTGAGAGACGGACAGAAGGAAGAAGTGTAATAAATGGAGAGAAAGACAGATTGGGAGGGAGGGCAGAGGAAAACAGAGGAGGGGAGGGGGAGAAGAATGCCAAGATCTTCATTAGCTTTGTCACAAAAGGTAATTTGTCTTTCAGCACATCCTCACTCTCACACACGCATATATACATGAGTGGAGACACACTTGCAGATATCCACACTGTGCATTTCACTGATGAAACTGAAGAAAAAGACAGAGATAGAGAGAGAGAGAGAGAAGAAAAGAGAAACAACTAAGCCAACAGGAAGGAAGTCGAAGAGATAATGAGTCTGGGAGAATATAAAAGAAATCAGAGAAGGAAGGCCAGATCAAAAAATGTCAGCTAAATAAAGGAGGAGTGTGGGGCAATGATAAAAAGAAAGGGAGAGGGAGGTGAGTGCTAAGTGTCAGTTGGCCTTTAAAAATGAGAATATACATCAATATGGTCCATCTGACAGAATAAGAATGAGAGGGGAGAGAAGAGATGATAAGAAATAGTGAAAGTGACGTTATAGGGTGCAGAGGATGAGGTTAGGAGAGGTAAAACATGAAAAAAGAAGAGAGATCTGGTGTCTGTGGTGAAGACTGGCAGATAAACCCCACTGTTTGATAAAACCTTATTTAAACTCTGGATCAATGATATCAATGTCTTTGGAGCTGAGGTCAGTGAAAGAAAATACAACATGACAAAACATCCCAAATAAACTGAGGCAACTGGAGAAGTCAACGGGAAACATAATGTAGGTGGAAATAACCAGAGGGCCATAATTCTAATATTGATCAAACATCAGCAGAAAATGCACAAAAATTCTGATGCTTCTGTAAAATTGGAAATAACAGCAGCAATATTTGTTTACAAATGACAACTGGAACGTGAAACATCTAACCGCCCACTCTTTGTCTCCATGAATGACAGTCTGCATTACTGGGGCGGCTGTGTCTCAGGAGGTGGATGGGTTTCCCACTAACCAGAGGGTTGGCGGTTCAGTCCCATTCCCTGTGCCAATACTGAGTTGCATATTGCCTCAGCAGTGTATAATAGATACACTGTACCAATGTGTGTGTGAAAGGGCGACCGTCCAGTGTGACTGGAGACTGGCACTGCACTGAAAAGAGCTTCATCAACACTTAAGTTCTTTCATAATCTAAAAGGAACTGTTGAGTTACAAAGTGTTGTATGAGAAAACGAATGATGTTCGTTTGTAACGCTAACAGCTCAGTTCCACATTACTCCCTGCAGTACGTGGGACGGAAGTGAAACGATGTCTAATGTGTCTACTGTTGAAATGAATCAGACTCTGCTGGATCACCCTGCAGACTGTGAAGCCTTGGCGTTTTGTATCAAGGCAGAGGTGAAAGTAAAGGGGGGGGGGGGCAGAACATATTGACTAAAGCAGTTGTCATAACCTGTCACTCACCTGTCTGTCTGCATGCATTCATGCAGAGTTCCCTCTTTGCTTTATGTGTGTCTCTCTGAAACATCTCTATGCACCTCACAGAAGTCAGACTCTGAACACACACACATACACACACACACACACACGTAACATATGTGTGGGTAATGTGCCCAGCATGTCTTGCACTTACTGATTGGTTCACATCAAAGTCTCAGGTTTATAGGTACGAACCTAAATTCCAGTAAAACATATTTTTGTTTTAGGGTAGAATTTTCACCTAAGAGTGCAGGCAAGCACACACACACGCACACACAAACACACGCACACACACACATACAATCATGGCTGTGCCTGTGTCCCAACATGACTCTGTATTGCACCAGTCGTTCAAATAAATTTCACAAACACCCTCGTCTGTGTCAGTGTCTGCCGCTATCACTCTCTTTCTCCTACGCGCACACATAGACAAAAAGGCAACTGCTTGTGTCTCCACTGATATAAGACTTGTGTGCAATGCAGAGATATGCAAATGACTCCTCAAGTGAACTGCTGGGGAGCCAAGTGAATGATCAAGTACATTTGAGCATTGTATGGGGGGGCGGTCAGTGGGCAAGACAAGACTGGTTTCTCCTGCATGATCACATATGCTTTATACAGTACATTATGTATGTGCATGCATACATACATGTTCCCTGAATGCACATATGTAGGCATGTTTAAATTTAATAGTGTGTAGTCACATGGCGAACATGCATGTTGAGGCATGTTTGCAGCAACATGCAAAGCAAATGTGTGCATTTTTTACGAAGGCATGTGCACACTCCACATGCACACATGCATGCTTCAAAAACAGTGTGAGCGTGTAGTGTGTGCGTGCAGTGTGTGTGCGTGCAGTGTGTGTGTGTGCAGTGTGTGTGTGTTTACCAAGCAGAAAATATTTAGCGTATTAAGTTTATTGGCAGCTGTAGGGAGACAGAGTCAAGGAGCTGAATCTCATTATAGGACCTCCCATCTGCCCCCCACAAGGAGTGATGCAGTGCATTCATTATCACACACACACACACACACATGCTTGCAAGAATGTGTATATGAATTAGAGAGAGAGTGAGAAAGGAGAGAGATCCCATGCATGTGTGACACTGAGCAAACCACTGATGATGCTGATTTCGAATTGTTTTAACTTTATGAACCAAAAAGAGGATTTTCCTGCACTGACATGAAGAAGGGAGAGAGAGAGAGAGAGAGAGAGAGAGAGGGGGAAGGATCGAGAGAGCGAGAGAGAGGAAATTAGATAGACAGAGGGGGAGAGAGGGAGAGCACAAGAGAGTACTGCAGTGTCTAAACAGTGAAGAAAAGAAGACTAGAAGGGAACAAAGCTTGCTGAAACATTCATGAGCCTAACAACCTTTAAAATAAATCTCCAGTAATACAGAATGGATGGAGTGAAAGAGTTCTAGTACATTTATAAACCGTATGAGTCACAGCAGAGGTGCAACACATCTGAGGCTAAAGACAGGGTATGAGGATGGAGAGAGGGAAACGTGTCTATAATCCCGTGTTTTCTGCCCCATAAACCCTGCATGCATTTCTTGACAGTGATTTTTTGTGTTTTGGTGCCTGAAGGGTCCCGGTGCACTCCCCACTTCTCTCAGCGACTAAATTCCACTTATAAAAGGCGCAGTGTGTCAGATGAGAGTGTCCGTGCGTAAAAACCAGCAAATTCTCCCAACTCACCTATCTGCACTGAGCTGGGGAAAGCCCCCGTCGACAGCCCCCAAAGGGCGGAAAACACCCCGAGAAAGTGCCAAGCAAAAATTTTAATCCTCATGTTTCTTTTAGTTCTTTCTTTCCTCCAATCCCTTTCAGAAACTGTTGAGAGACATCGAGAGAGACCGAGATGGGGGGATGCAAAAGAGAGAGACAGAGAGAAAAAGGTGTCAGAAGGGGGAAAAAGGAATAAGGAAGAAAGATGAGAGAGAGGTTTTCTTCCCCCTCGTGTTGTCCGGAAGTATTCCTATTCCATGGTGGGGTTCGTTCGTTTTCTGTTCCCCCTGCAGTGTCCGCTCAGGAGAGGAGAGCTGCGCGCCCGGTACACATGTAGAGACGAGGAGAGAAGGGGGAAACTCGCTAGAATGATTGGCGAGCTGGAGAAGAGTCTGCATGGAGGAACTGGACATGCGCGCACCCGTCTCTCTCTCTCGCTCTCTTTCACTCTCTCTCTCTCCTACATACACCATCCCTCTCTCTCCACGAGATTGTCCGTGTCTGTCTCCCTCTCTCGATCTCCCTTCCCTCTCTGTCGTCTTTAACTTGCTGTAATACTAAATTCATAGCTGTAGTCTATCGATAAGGCATGGTCGACTTGTGCGTAAAACCATTTTTTTTTTGGGGGGGAGTATGCGTGCGTCTTTGCGCGCTACTCCGTTATCATGTTCTCCATGCGCACTTGACGGTATTGAACCAAACCTTATCCCAGCCCACCCCCGACATCGCAACAGAAATCCACGTGTCTGCGCACAGGACAGAAAGACAGCAGGGATAGGAAAGTGCTTCAGAGACTCCAGGTGTGTTTTGAATGCCGAGGCAGATTTCTGTGAGAAAGAGAGATGTTCTGCCTGCGCACCCAACTGATTGCATTATAAGGCTAATCCACCCTGACGCATGGGTCCACTCTGCAGCCAAACCTGACTCTGACTGTCCCACCACAGCAGCAGCATGCAGGCCAGCTGACAGAGGGAATAACCTCGGGACGTATACAGCTGCAGGAAGCTGATGGTGCCCTGGGGACCCGCAAAAACCATCGTTATTTCAACGTCACGTCATGAGCACAAACGTCTGGCCTCAGGGAAAAAAACAACAGAGATGCACAAGTATAGTGCCAGAACTGCACAGCACTAAGCCAGATATTAAACGTTTTAAACGGGAACATTAAATTGTGAAAATGGACCGGACTAGAGTTGTATCTTATCCTGCCCGGTAGCAGGTCGGTATAAAACTGACAGACGGTCCGGGATCGCGCAGTTACACGGTGCAGAGCACAGTCTCATTTCTCCAGATGGCAAAACGAAAGGGATGCTTCACGGTTGTCCCAGTGAAAGATGCGCTCTGTCCATCTCTGAGGGGTTTTCCCGGTCGACTGCAACGCATAAATCAAATAGGCTGGAGGCGAGTTGAACGTTTCTTACATTTCACACAGCATTTTGTTTTCTATACTGACTGGGTGTTCATTAAACTACTTACAATGAGATCTCATCACACACAGGGATTGCCTCCAATTCAATTGTGAAGTTGATTTTATGAACCAAACAGATAGTACAGCCAACCAAAGACCGTGTCTTATAGTTATTGATACACCTGCTGCCCCGTGGCTGCTGACAGATCTGCTTTCATGGGCTGGGTGGAATTGATCATAGTGAACTGGTTGGTCATTAGACAATGGTTATTTAAAAATGGATACTTATGTGTTGAAATTAGTGCTGCAATCAATTCTTCTTCTTTAGTATCTATTCATTTGTTGATTATTTTCTGGATTAATCAATTAATTGTTTAGTCCTTAAAGTGCTAGACAATGGTTGAAAAAAGTCATGTGTTTCTCAAACCCCCAAAATGTCCTCAAATGTCCTGTGTTGTCATTAGATACGCAAAGAAACCAAATATTCACATTTAACAAGATGAAATCTGGGAGTTTCGACCCTAGATTGTGTCGTTAATAAAATGATCGACGGATTGTCAAAATAGTCAGTTACTAATCGGTTGATTTTTGCAGCTCTAGTTCAGGTGATCTTGAAATGAACTAAACCAAAGCAACACTTTTCAACTCCTCTGTCTGCAGACTGAAGGACTCTGTCCATGGTGCTGAAATCCTACTGTTCCATGCAGGCTGCAGCTTGAGGACGGGGACATGTCCTCACTGTTCTCACACTGTGTTCTACAGAGAGCAAACAGTCTGCAGGTACAGCTCCAGACAAACACCACACCAGGAGATCTCACTGATTCCTTACTTGCCTCTAGTTTGAACATGTGCTAATTGGTAAAATCAACTTGGAAGATGGCTTCTAACCAGACTGCCTGATTTTTTTCATTCAGAACCATGAATTATTCACTGAGAAATGAAGGAAAATGTTATAAAACTCACAACTGTAAAGGAAGTGAAAATAAATTCCTGGATCCAAAATGTACTGGGTTCTTCCATGGGTCACGCCCCACTTCTCATGGAAATTGGTTTTGTGTTATTTTTCGAACAGATAAACAAGCCTTGATGAAAACCCAATCTACTTGGCGGACGTAACCTTGTAAAGCAATGTAACACTTCATATTGACTGAACCATGGGTACAAACTTTACAACCTTGAGCGGCCATCATGCTGAAAATACAGAGCCAGAGCTTACTCACTATTAAATGCATGGTAACACTGTGATCTAATCTAATCATGTTGCAAACAGGAGAAAGAAATGAATAAAGACAAAATCAGTAGCAACACAGTCTGAGTTCTTCCAGTCTTGCCACATACGCATGTTTAAATGCCTCATCCCTGATCAATAATACACCATAATGCACAATAAAATCAAGATGAGAGTTTGTGCTGGTTACAACTTTAAAAAAAATGCTGCAGCCAGCTCATTTATAATCATTTCCTGCATTTGTCAAGAATACAAAAATATTGTCCGCACAGCAACTCTGATCAATAGATCTATATTCAATATATATCAATCCATTTGTCCATATATACACTGGCTCCTGGGCATTCTCCTTGCTGAATTGACCAAAGTCAATCACTTTGTTCACAGTCAATATACCACCTTGGTAATAAAGACCCATCAACAGTCCTATAGGGATGAGGTAATTGACAGTCTGATGTTTTCTCTCACTCAAACCATATCGAGTGAAAATTGGCATCACAATAGTGATATTAAGGAGGAAATCTCTACCTCTCTGTACGATCTTTACTGATGATACCCACAAACTATTTTATTTTGTACTCTGTTGCCGATTCCATGGTGCAAAATTGCTCTAATCAGAATAAGATTATAGTCCAGATGGCACTGCAGAACTACTGCCAAATCTCTTCTGGTCAGAATTTAACATGACATGGGTCTATCAGGCACAATGCCACCATCTAGACTGCCTTTGAGACTTTGCCAAAACTGGTTGGATCAAGACTCAAACAGCTACAGCACTTTTCACCACAGTGAGTGGAAGAATTCATAGTTATTGAGCCTCGAACCAGAAACGATTTTCATCTGAATTCAGACCAAATTCAGAAGCTTTGATATAAGTTTATTCAGTGCTGACATTGGCCAGGTTGTCAGTAGCTTTTGGATGGATTGTCATATTTTCTACAGACGTTCATGTTTCCTCAAGTCAAATTTTTATCCCCAGGCTTTTCAACTTGGCACCATCAGTTCAGATTTTTAATTTGTTAAAACGGTGGTTTGTGACTAAATACATGTAAAGTTAATACTTTTCCAATCCTCCATTTTTGTACGTTGTGTCAGTTATGTTGCTGTTTGTGTAATTGGACTGCATTTACAGTACATTGACTCATTCTCTCTCTCTCTATCTCACACACACACAAAAGAGAGCATTTAGGGTTCAAATTTTCCAATTAATACTTTAAAATTTCAATTGAACCACCATTACCGGACAACCCATTAATCACATGCTAATTATCACTTAACATGCATACAACACAACACAAACCAAGCTAATGAATATGAGCATGGCTGAGACTGTGTTACTCAATATATTAACCGTTTTTTCCTATTTTAGTCTTTTTTAGTTTGAGACAACACGTGGTTATGTGCCTAAACCTAATGGACAAAAAAAGAGTTTTAGCATATTTGGACTGAAATGGTTCAAATTTGATGATTTAAGAATCAGATTTCATTTTGTGCCTGTGAATGAATGTGTGTTGTTCCATTGTTCTGTGACCAACAATGCAACAACATGACTCTTACATTCAGCACAGGAATTCAATCTCACGCAGAATCACTCCACTGCCTATCTGAATCTTTCATCAAAAGACTGAGACCTTGGAGATGAGATAAAGAGTGAGTGATGTTAAAAAAAAGCGAGAGAGGGGTAAAACGACACCTATCTATCTATCTATCCATCTATCTATCTCTCTATCCATCTATCTATCTATCTATCTATCTATTTTATGTCTTAACAAGTTATTACAGATTCTGTTGCGGATGTGTTCTTGTGTCGGTGCCAGTGCTCATCCTGGCAACTTGTCATCACTCCTGCTTGAAAGGTTACAAGAATAGCCCCCCCTTCACTTTCATCTCTGGTTATTCATCCATCCATTCTTCTCTTATTCTTTCTCCATCCCCTGCTTGTGATGACTCATCAATCTAAATGTCCTTCTCGCCATCACCTCCTCCTTCCCCACCCTCCTCATCCTCCTCATCCTCCTCTTCCTACGGCTCAATCCTCCACCTCAGCCGTGTGCTCTATGACTCCTGCTCTTAACTGCATTCACCTGACTTTCCATCCCCTCTTAAACCCTCCTGTGTTTCCTTCGGCGCATCATTAGCGCAATATCAGTATCCACCAGCTCTTCTTCACCTTTATCTTCTCATCTCTTTTTTGCCCCCTAGTCTTTCTTTCCATCCAACTAAACCGACCACATCAGGCAAAATTGCATTTCTCCTTGTTTCTGTTTTTTTGCCCTCAACAGTCAATCCTTTCTTTCTCTCTCAGTTTCTCTCCCTGCCCATAACCCCAGCAGCTATCTTGTATCTTATTGGAAACAGACAAAAAGAACATTAGCAGATACAAATCAATTGATGGTGTTACATTGTGAGGTTGCATCTGGGGACTCATCGCATTACTCTAAGTAAGGTGAGGATCAATGCAAGTCAATGGTGAACAGTGCATTTATAATATGCGCCAGAATCCGTTCAGCCTCTTCAGTTTGATTTTGTCACTGAAAGGATGGATGGAATATTCCAG